CCAGAAGGATATACAAATACCCGAATTGATGTTGTTTCTCTGAGGCGTGAGGGCAATGCGCCCGCGATTCGTCGACGTCAGATGCAGTGGCCCGTCGCCAATTCATGCTTCATCTGGGGCATGGCGGCGACTCGCCAGCAGTTACTTCGCGACGGGCAACCGAAAACATCGCCAGCGACATTTCAAATTCAAGTGTTTGCGGCGAGGCGACCCGCCCCTGCGTCGAACGGCCGATTGCCAGGGCGGCCCGCCACCATGCGCATTCTAGATCGCGCGGGGAGGCGCAGCATATTGATTGGCACGTCGTAGTCTCTCGCCTGCGGTCTACCGCCGTCGCGGACCAGTGCGATTCAGAAATCGCATTCCCTTCTGTGTCGAGGCGGTTGTGCGAGGCGACTATCCACGGAAATCGCGCGACATGTTTATGGCCTGGACTAGCTTGAAAATAACCAAAATCACGAGCTGGGCAATCAGTCGCGGAGCTGGGGCAACTTCGCCACCAGAGCAGCTCAAGTTCAGCAGGGGCGTTCGATTTCCCGCTGAGCCACCTGCCATCGCTTCGGGCCGCCAAAGCCACGTCGGCGAGGCGGGGGGTGCAAGCCGTCCGCGTGGATGGTCAGAAATCAATCGTTTGCGCGCCCCCCTCCGCCCATGCTAGGACAAGTCCTAACATTTGCGGCCGAGACGCGCCGAAGGCCCAGACGCGGTGCGCGGACGGCCGCGAGGGGGCGACAGTCGCTCCAACATGGAATTTCTGGGCTCACCCGCCTCCCCAGGCCCCGAAGGTGCCCCCCCATATGCTCCCGGGACACTCCTGGGACACTCCCGGGGCACTCCTCGGACACTCCCGGGACGCTCCGGGAACGCTTCCGGGACACTCCCGGGACGCTCCCGGGACATTCCGGGACGCTGCCAGTTCTGCGCGCCCCAGTTTTGTGGATTCCGCCCCGAGCATGCCCGCGGGGCCTCTTTTTTGTATCCTTCTTCTTCCTTTCCATACATATATATATGTATATATATATATACACATATACATATATGATATTTTTCAATATTTTCGAATTTATTATATTTTAATATTATATGTATATATATATATATATTATTTGAATATTCTCTCTCTCTCTCTCTATATATATATATTCGTGTTTTCCCCCGGATGTCAAACGGAGAGCTGAAGGACCTTCAGAATTCCTCGGGGCGTCTCAGAGGCCAATCAGAGCTTCCCGGGGCCCCTTAGAACATTGCCCGGCGCCTTCGGGCCGTTTTCCGCGGTGGGGAGGTCTTGCCTCGAGAGTATTGGGTCGGTTGCGTTGGCCTGGCCTTGGGGGGGCCTCAATTAAGTTCGAACCCGAGGTTGCAATGTGCGCGCGCGCCTGCCTGTATCGTTGCCGGTCTGGCCCGACAGGCTCGCCACGCGCGCGCGCTGCCGATGGCAGGCCGGGGGATCGACGAGGCCGCCCCCGAACGTGGCATGGTTGACCGCTCCGCAGCTGAAGTTGAGAGTTGCTTTTGCGATTTCCCGAGCTGCGGGGCCGATGGTCCAGCCCATCATTCTTGAGATTGCCAACCGCATGAACAAACTGCGCCGTTTCCATCCATGCCCGAGTAGCGCGGCGTGCTCGACAGAAGCGGGGATACAATTTATGAATCACTGGCTCGCGACATGTGTCGATCCTCGGGCCAGTCGGCTGCAGCGGGAATGCGATTTCTTAATATTCTGCGCCCCCGCGAGGATCCGTGGGCCCACGCTGGCGAGAGCTGCCAAGGCCATCGGCCGCTCGGCGCAACGGCAGGCCGTTTCAGTGCAAGCACTGCTCGCTTAGACATACCACTGGTAATCTTCACGGTTGATTATTTGACGGGGGAAAAGATGAAAGAGCCGCTGGCGCGCCGCTGTCACTACCGGGAGGAAGCAACCGCATTCGTTACATCGTTGTGTGTCTGATTCTGACGAATCTTTTGAAACCGCTCCAAGTAAATCAACGCATCAATGGTGTCATATTTTTCGTCATCAGCTCAATTTATGTTTGAGGTCGGTTGCGGACTGCGCTTATGTATTGGCGGAGCGCGTTGCCGATGGTCTCTCAAGAAGCAGTCCCTATCACGTGGTGTCCCAAATCGCGTTTTCACGTTTTGGTTGAAGGTGGCCCTTGCGAATTTGGAATGGAAGTCTCGGGTAAATGTGGAACATGTGAAGCGGCAGTGGTTTCAGATGATTCATTCTTGTTTGCTCTTGTTTTGCTCTTTGGGCTGTTGAGATGCCGTTTTCCACGCCTCATTGAAGCTTGCCGCGGATCTCCAGATGGCTCCGAAATGGCACAGGAGGCCCCAGAGGGCCCCGCGAGAGAGCCAGAGCGAAGCATCTGAGAGGGCAGTTTCATAATTTCTCCGCTCTGGTTGGCTCTTGGGGCCCGCTTGGGGCTCTCATGGGCTCCCCTGATGGGCTCCAGGGGATTTCGAGGTAGCTCGAAAAGAAACCAGCCCCGACAGCGAACCGCAATGGGGCATTTGAGAACTCCGTTGGACATGTTCCAGTCAAGCTGGCTATCGGGCCATCTAAACGTCCTTCGATGCTTTTATCGGACTTCCCGGGAACTTCCGGATGGCCCCGAACAGGGGCCCGGCAGGGGCCCCAATGGGCCCCGCGGGCAATCCAGACTGGAGCAGTTGAAACGGCCGGTTCGGATGTTCCGCTCCGGTTGGTTCTTGGGGCGTCTAAGGATCTTTTCTGGCGCCGTGGAGGCTTTCAGGGACTTCAGCTGGCCCCAAAAGGGCCCTGGAGGCGGCCGGAGAGTGAGCCAGAGTGGAGCATCTGGAACAACCGTTTCAAATCTTCGACTTTGGTTGGCCCTTCGCGCCGTCTCGGGCCCCCCCGCGGGCTCTGTTCAAAGCCGCATCGGGCCTCCTCTGGCCCGAGACATCATGCTGTCCGCGCAGGTTTCGCTCGAGCCACTCATTGATGTGGGTTGTCTTGTGTGCAATCATGAACGTGCGTTGTCTTCTGACTCAGGCCGAGGGGTGCGTCGCGCGAGCAGGCGCGCGGCGATGCTCAGTCAGGGTGTCCGTTGGGTTGGGTACGATCGTGCGAACGCGTGCTGTGCATATTGATGCGTGCTGCCTGCGCGTATTTCGTTAAGGGCGTTCCATATGATAATTTTATATGGCGTGCTCCGTCGTGGATTGTACCATCTGTTCTCAGGGTGTGCGTTCACTGGAGATTCATTGGGTTCCCAAGTCATATGACAGTCGTCACAAACCCGAAACTTGAATTCGGGCGACGAGGGTTTGATTCGGGGAATCCTGCTTGCAGCGGTGTCCCCGAGCGGTTTTCCTAACGGTCCCACGTGGAATTGCCAACTGAGGTCTGCCGTAGTGCGGTCTTATGCGGACTTCGCCATTTGGGTGCTGCACACAGGCAGCGAAACCATCGGCACTTCGTGATCTCCTGGGCGGCCCAGTGGAGTGCTGCGCGGACCAAACTCGTCCTTGCCTCCATTGGTTCTGCCTATTGTGGAGGTATCGCCGCCGTCGTGAGCTCTAAACGTATCCAAGTTCGACCTCCCCGCTCTGGGCGCTGCCAGCTGCGCGACCGTCGCCACTTGCGTGATGTCCTCGGAGGTCCCCGGAGTGCGTTCCGAAATGTATCTAGAGTAGACCTTCTTTCTCTGGGCGCTGTCAGGCGTGCGCTTGTCGCCACTCGCGAGCTCCTGGGGGAGTGGTTCTATGCGGGTTCGAACTAAACCTTCCCTCCTGAAGGCTGCCGCCTGCATAACTGTCGTCAATTTCCGGACCTCCTAGGAGGTCCACGGAATGCGGTCCTAAACGGATTTTGACTGAAGCTGCCATTTTTGAGCGATGCCAGTTTCCTTTTTGGTGCCGCAGCGTATAGCTCTGTATGGCGCGCAACGCATGGATTGTCCCCGCAGCTTGCATGAGGGGCGACGCGCCTTCTGTTCGTTGTGGATGGGCCCGCTGAGATTGTCACTCGTTGCAGGTGCGCTGCGTACGTCTCTGGGCAATTTTTTCAGCCCCCTTTGGGCCCATTTGGATATCTAAAGGCAGTATCGGCAGTCGCCTCCACCGAGGGAAGATGGTCCTGGTGGTCTCGGTGATGGTGGTCATATTCGGGCTTTCCGGGTAAGCAAGGCATTGCCACCAGCACCAACATCCAGGATCATCATCCCCCCGTGGAGGGAACTCCTTGTGTTGGTGTTGGTGCCCATTTGCAGGCCCACAACCCTCTGTTGAACCGGTAGATTCGCACCGCCTTGACGCGATGACGACCCCAGCGGGCGCTCGTGGTTCACCGCCGCCTTTGGCCCAGCATCGGCCGCCATCAAAGGATCTGCGCTAACGGGAAGCCGTGATCGTTCAAGTTTGAGCGATCCACGTGGTGTCAGAAACCAACGCCGACGTCATCACAACGTTCGCCTACCGTCAATGCGCAGAGCGTATCTAGACAGCAGAGCCCTTCCTGGCCATGGCCGTTCTGGACCCCAGGGTGGTGCATAGACACTCCTGGCCTCAGCGAGGATGGCATATGCACGCATGCACCGTGCCAGGGCCCTGGATGGCCCTCTTCGCCGCGTGCGGGCCTCCAAAGGTAACCTCCCCGCCCCTCGTCAGGAGAAGGAGGAGGAGGAGGAGGGAGGAGGAGGCCCTCATCCCCTGCGTGGTAGTGGTGATTGTGCTTGCGAAGCATGCGGCTGCCCCCCTGCTCTTGCAGTTTTTGTTCAGGGTGCTCCCTGGTCTTCGGGCCAGAACTCGAGCCTCTGGCGGCTGTTCGGGACGATTCGGGCACCCCCCGGAACGGCCTCGACGAGGCGCAGCTGATGGAAAACAACCCGAGGCTGGAAAGACGCCGAGATCGCGAGAGCGAAGGAAAACAGCTGAAAACCTGTAACCTCGAAAGTTCGTCCCCTCCCTGACCCTATCCCCCCGAGCCCCCCCCCGAACCTCGGCTCTTGCCTTCCTCCCCGCGTGCCTCCCCGCGGGAGGACAAGAGGCGGCGCGCCACGCTGGCCCTCCCTGGGCGGCGGCAGTTCAGCAGCGAGTCCAGGTTCAGCAGGCAGGACAAGGAGACCCTGATCAGGCAGTGCTGCGAAGGGTCACCACCGATGGGGTCGCAATGGTAGGTTTTTTTGTTTCGCCCGACCTAATCCTTAAGGTTGGCCTCCTCCTGGAGGCGTTGGCGGCCACCCCCAGTGGTGGACCCCCTCGGCACTGCCTGGCCCGGGGGGGGGGGTGCTCGGCTGCGGGAGCCTCGCCGCCTCCGCCGCTCAGCAAAGGGGCCCCAAGGTGGAGGGTTTCTCCGAAGGGCTTAGGCGACCCGCTCTCCTCCTCCTTTTTTGTTTTTTCCTTCTCCTCCTCCTTCCTCCTCCTCCCCACACCCTCCTCCTCCTGCTCCTCCTCCTCCTCCTCCTCCTCCTCCTCGGGTCGCCTACGGCCCTGGGGGACACCGTGCACCCCAAGGGAGATCGTCCCTGGCGTTTCTCCGCTCTTGGGCTCCACACCTCGTGCGCCCAGGCGCTTTTTGTTTGGGGGGGGCAGCTAGCGTTCCCTGCCTTATCCTTGTAGTGGTAGCTTGCTGGTAATCCCCTAGGCGCGCCAGGGTCAACTTCGATCTGATCGATCTGGTCTGGTGCGACATCGAGTCCAGCCCGCTCGATCTGGTTTCGATCCCGACATCCCAGCGATCCGAGGTGCGGCCCGATGCCCGCACGGCGCTGCTGTGGATCTCGGCGCGGCCGATCCGATTCGACGCCGACCGTCTGCGACCACTATCGAACCCTGCCCCGCCCCATGCAGGCCAAATCGACGCTGGGATACCAGACACCACCGCTGGGTTCTCATGGCTGCAGACATCCTTCATGTTCTGAACCCTCGCCAATGTTTCAGACATCTGGTTTGCCGCTCTTGGAGGGTTCTTCGGTGCGCCCCAGAGTGGTCATATCGCTTAACCGCCGCTCTGTCGCTGAGCCTCTTTGCGCTGCATGCTTCCCTACTCCGCCCTCTCCTCCTCCCTCTCCTCCATTCTCCTCCCTGTTCTTGCCGTGCTTTACGATTGTTCTTTTACCTCTTCCTCCTCCTTGGTTAGCTGTTGCATACTGGAGTCCTATTCGCATTAGTTGGGAAGCTGGCACTTTTAATGCCGAGTCGTATTGGATCTCCCAAGTTGCCCAACTATCCGCCCTGCTTTTCTGAGGTGGGGATTTCTGCTGTACTTGTTCGTATCGTTTGGTGTGCATTTCCGATACAAGCTTGAGCAGGGGTATGTCGGTTTCGCATGTGGTTCCCTTGTGATCTTGCCCAGAAAAGAGGAAGGCAACAGTTGCGTAATAATAAACTTTCGTATCTCGGCGCGGATTTCTTGGATCGGCGTGGATCGGCTGGACCTCCCTCCCTGGCGCGCTGGGTGGCGCTGGAGGCGCGGCCATGGTGGCTCAGAGCCGATCCCAGAAATCCGTTCGGAGCTCTGATTGTATATTCCCGGATAGATCTCTGAGAGCTAAGAGGGTTTCAGATTAGAAGCCGGCAGCGCAGGGTAACCTCAAGAAGCCATTAAGGACCTCCCCGGGGTTATCATTAGCATAGCACCGTAATTCAATAATTCTGGGGGGCGGTTTTCGCCAAACGATATGATTAGCACCGCGCAAATGGAACGACAATAGATGATTCTCGCGCCCTGGCTCGGGTGTCATCCCAATTGGAATTGGAATCATATTATGAATAAGAGTGAAATGCGAATAATACGAAGAAACCTAATACTAATAAACATGATAATACTGTGAGTAAGGATAATAATAAAGGTAGTAACACTAGTAATAATAATAAGAACCCTTACTATAAGGATGCAGTTACCCCTTGCACCCTTATACTATTAGGATGCAGGTGCAATACTACTAAGAGTACTACTGATACTGATAATACGAAGAATGCGACAACTAATCATGATAATAATACGAATATGAATGCTGATTAAAAGAAGAACAGTTTTTTCTCATTATCTTCATCATCCTTGTCCTCTACGATTTGTATTACCACCCCTGTTGAACAACTGCTTTTCCCGGCCGTCGTGTGGGGTAGTACATCCGAGGTATCGCCCCCGCCACGCACGGCGTGTTATCTTAGCACCGCACCCGTACAAACTAATAAACGAGAAATACAGTAAGACCCAAACTACTAATAATACAACTTATAATGATACCAATATAAAGGATAATCGTAAGAACACGAATAAGAGTAATGGTACTTCTAAGAAAAATGATCCCACATCAGACGGGCTCCCCTGCTTCTTTCCTCCCTCCCTCCTTTTTCTCATTTTCTTCATCATCCTTGTCCTATACGATTCTTACTGCGACCCCTATTGATTTTTGTTTTCCCCCGGCCGTCGTGTGGGGTCCATCTTGCGAGAATGTCTCAGGCGGTTTGCTTGTTTCGGCGAGCAGACTCGTCTGCGTTCACAGAAAGGTGCGAGGTGCCAGGGTAACGCTTCTTGGGTGCCGGGTGCGTTATACTTTCGCCGGAGAGGGGGGGGGGTCCTAATTGCTTCACAAGGTTATCGGACAGGCACAGCACTACACTTTGGGCGAGTGCATTAGCTTCTTGCGCGGATCCCCACATTCCACATTTACTTTTCCGACATCGTCTCACGTATTGGTTCGCCCGCCATTCGAGAAGGGCCGATCGCGCCTGTTGGATTTGCTGGGGCTTCGGCGTCGCTCGGTGTCAGTCTGGAATGAAGACTTGCGCCGCACGAGTGGATTGGAGGACGAGCGCAAGGTGAGTCTTTGAGCTGCGGGGGGCGCGAGCGTTTGCCGCCGCGCAGGGGCCAGGGGCAATTAAGAAAGGCTCAGGGAAATATAGGGCGGCAGGTAGAGGAAGAACGGGGGAGGGGGGATGCAAAGCAGCGGGCGAGAATGGGGAACATAGCGACCAGGCGATATGCTCTGATAGGGGGAGCGATGTGGGCGGAGGCCGCAGTTGGAATTCCTTCGGAAAGCCCTGGGACGTTCAGACACCTCCGCCTGGAGGCCGGCAGGGGGTTCAGCGGCCCTTGCCGTCCTGACTCGGCGGGCGGGGCGCGACGACGCACCCGACCTGCACCCCGCCCTTTCGCTAGGTGCCGGTCTGCACGTGTTCGCCCCGCGCGAGACATCCAACACGTTCAGAAATACACTTAGCCAGGTACTAGGTGTAGTTTTGTGCGCGCTGGTTTCGCCGGAGACATCCTCACGAAACGGAGCATTTATAGAACTACACCTAGCCAGCGGGGCGGGGTGCATGTTTGTTGCCGCCGCGCGCGCTCCCAACGTGTACCGCGCCCCGGCCGCTAAGTGCCGTTTTGCGAAGCATCGGCTGCCCGCGCTGCCCATCGCCGAGGCCCCGCCCCCTGGGCCGCTTCCCACCGACATCCCACATCCCCTGGCTCAGCGAAGCCAGCCGTGTGCCTGGGGACCTCGACCTGGCGCGCCCCGCTTCCCTCCCCCGCCTGTGCCCCAGCAGCAAATTCGCGATCCGATCCCCCGCGCTTTCGAGTTCCTCTTCGTGCCGGAGTCCCCGTCCGAGGGTGAAACGCTTGTTCGTGTTATGTTTTTTCTTGCGGCTGCCGCCAAGCCTCGCCGTGGAACATGGTGATCGCTTCCACGCTTCACGCGCAACGTCGTCGGCACGACCATCGCCTTCCATCGTAGGTCGTGAGGCGGTGTCCGTCCACCCAAACCGACCGACGCGCCAAATCTAAGTATGATTGCCGCCCGTGGTCCCCGCAACAAGGTGCAGTTTTGCTGTGTGTAGTTGTGGACGTGTTCGAGGTTCGCCCAGGAGCTCTGTCCGGCGTCAAGCAGCGCCGCAGCGAGTTGCTTGAATCGGAAGTCTGTCCCAAAAGGCCTTTTCCTAGCTGTTTTCCAATACATGTGCCCAGAAACTGTCCACGAGCTCCTTCCGAAGCTCGTTCCGGGAGCTTCCTGTGGTCCTTCGCATTTCCCCCCCCCCCCCCCCCCCGAAGGCCTTTCGGAAACTCCGCTATCGGGGCTTTGGACACCACGCGTTTTTTTTGCAGTTGTGTTCTTCTATGCTCGGCAACTGCGCCCGCCGCGATGACGCCCGCGGGGGCGCCGCGTGCGGCTCGACATATGGCTCGACATCGATTCCAATCGCCTCGGTCCGATTCGACGCCGACCGCCTGCGACCTCTATCGGACGCTAGTTTCCCCAATCCCTGCGGTCTCAACCGGTGCTGGGGCATCGGGCACCCCTGCTGGGGTTGTCTTGGCGTGTTTTGATCCCGATATCCCAGCGATCCGAGATGCGGCCCGATGCCGGCACGGCGCTGCTGTGGATCCTGGCGCGGCCGATCATATTCGACGCCGACCGTCTTGCGACCGCTATCGAACCCTACCCCCGTCCCTGCGGGTTCAACCGATGCTGGGGTATCGGACCCCCCTGCTGGGGTTTTCTTGGCCGCAGAAGTCCTTCATGTTCTGAACACCCTCCATAATATGAGAAATCTGGCCCGTAGGGGTACAGTCGAGACGCTAAAGTAAGGACCGCTTGGGCTCAGGAAGGGCTCTCGTTTTCGGGCTGTTCCTTAGATCTATGTCGGAGGACACCTTCATGACCGAGGCTCGCCGTGGCCAGTTAAGCCCCCCCGTGCCCTCTTCAACGCGCCTTACGGCAACACGATGCGTGCAGGTTTTGCATGTGGTTCCCTCGTGCTCCTGTCCAGCAGAGAGGAAGACACCAACTGCGTAAACGTAAATTTTTGAAACTCCCCTCGGATTTGTTGGTTCGGTGCTGGCGCGGCCGACCCGAGTCGACGCCGACCGACCCTGCCCGCGGCGAGGACGCCCGCGGAGACGCTGCGTGCGCGGAGGTACGCGTGCGAGGCGGGACCTACGGGGAGATGGCCGTGTTGTACGGCGTCATGTACCTCTCCACTGCGCGGACGCTGGAGGCCGCGTGCGTGGCCCGCCCGGGCAGCGGGGCGGCGAGAGGAGGGGTGCGGCGGCGGTGGGCGGTGGGCGGCGGAGGAGGAGGAGGAGAAGGAGGAAAAGGAAATAGAGGAGGACGAGGAGGAGGAGGACGAGGAGGAGGAGGACGAGGAGGAGGGAGGAGGAGGAGGAGGAGAGGAGGAGGAGGAGGAGGAGGAGGCGGAGGAGGGAGGAGGAGGGAGGAGAGGCGGAGGAAGAGGAGGAGGCGGAGGCGGCGGAGGAGGAGGAGGAGGAGGAGGAGGGGGGGAGGAGGAGGAGGAGGAGGAGGAGGAGGAGGAGGAGGAGGAGGAGGAGGAGGAGATAGAGGAAAGGGAAAAGGAGGAGGACGAGGAGAGGTAGGAGTACGAGGAGGACGAGGAGGAGGACGAGGAGGAGGACGAGGAGGAGGACGAGGAGGAGGATCGGCATTCCGTGAAAGAGTTGTCACGCAGCTGCTGCTGCTGGGGGCGTGACATGGCAATCGTGCCACGGCAGGCCACGAGGAGGAGGACGAGGAGGAGGACGAGGAGGCTGATGAGGAGGAGGAGGACGAGGAAGAGGACGAAGAGGAGGACGAGGAAAAGGAAGACGAGGAGAAGGACGAGGAGGAGGAAGGGGAGGACGAGGAGGCGGACAACGAGTAGTAGTAGTAGTAGTAGTAGTAGTAGTAGTAGTAGTAGTAGTAGTAGTAGTAGTAGTAGTAGTAGTAGTAGTAGTAGTAGTAGTAGTATTAGTAGTAGTAGTAGTAGTAGTAGTAGTAGTAGTAGTAGTAGTAGTAGTAGTAGTAGTAGTAGTAGTAGTAGTAGTAGTAGTAGTAGTAGTAGTAGTAGTAGTAGTAGTAGTAGTAGTAGTAGTAGTAGTAGTAGTAGTAGTAGTAGTAGTACTAGTAGTAGTAGTAGTAGTAGTAGTAGCAGTAGTAGCAGTAGTAGCAGGAGTAGCAGTAGTAGCAGTAGTAGCA